GATAATCACAGTGTTTTATACCAAAAAAAAGTGTCAAATACAGTTACCCAAATGAATTAAATGCTACAAGTTGTTGCAAATGGGTATATATATATATTTTTAACATCTTTATTGGAGTATAATTGCTTTACAATGGTGTGTTAGTTTCTGCTTTACAACAAAATGAATCAGTTATATATATACATATGTTCCCATATCTCTTCCCTCTACAACTATGCTGTAGGCTTTTTAATTGTGGAGATCAATTTTTCTTCCATGGAGCCTAAAAATGCAGAGGCCTAAAAACATAGTACCAAGCAGTTAAAAACAAAGAAGTATACAAAATTCCACAAATACTGATTTCTTTTTCCCGTTATAGAAAATAGCATTAGCTTTTTCTTCTCCTTTACACCTATATTTTACCTTTTGGGAGGTCTGAGATCTTCTGCCAGAGTTCAGTAGGTGTTCTGTAGGAGTTGTTCCACGTGTAGATGTATTTCTGATGTATCTGTGTGGAGGAAGGTGATCTCCGCGTCTTACTCTTCCGCCATCTTCCCCCTCTCCTATACCTATATTTTAAAATAAATTTAAAAATTAAATCCCAAGAGCACAAATGGGCGGAAAAGCAAATCTGATTTCCTGTCTGATTTAAACTGAAGAATACTGAGTTCATTAACTGTAATTCATATATAATCTCAAGTAATAGCTAAGAAGATGTGTCATGAGCTCAGCTTTATACGTTCATATTTTAAAAAATTTTTTCAATGTAAATGCTCATCAGCTCAATAATAGCATGAATGTGCTTTTTGACATGCAAGTGTTTTCCAATTATATCTTAAAATCAGCTAACAAAAGCAGGTCGAGAAAGTAGAAGATGCAGTCTTCTGTTTTCAGCTGTTTCAGAACTGGTTTAATGAAAAAGTCACTTTAAAGGTTTGGTTTTAATTTCACGAGAAAGACATCTGTATTGAAATAGTGTGCAGCTGAGGTCCTCTAGTGTCGCAGTTGAATATGGCATCAACTTTTAAGATTTTGTGAAGTGTGTGTGTGTGTGTGTGTGTGTGTGTGTGTGAGAGAGAGAGAGAGAGAGAGAGAAAGAGAGAGAGAGAGAGTGAGAGAGACAGAGACAGAGACAGAAACAGAGATACAGAGAGAAGAACAAGGACAAGAGAGATTACTACCTTAAAGTTGACTCAGCAAATGACCTCAGAAAACTAGGTTCTTATGTTTTATTTGTTAATCAATCTCAATGAAAGGTTTTCTTTGTTTTTAAGAGGGGAGGGGTTTGCATTCTTTCATGTGCACATAGTTTTCAATGTAATTGTAGTTGTTTTAAAGTTTGGAATCTTTTCCTTTACATAGTTGGTTTATTTTTTTGCAGATGTTAATGAAAACTATTAATTCTTAATTGTTCTCATCTCATTTGCTTAATACTGGCTGTTGTGACACTTTAATATGGGAGAAACTATTTGATAAAGTAGAATAGTTTATAGATCAGTTTAATAAGAATTCTTTATAAATAGTAACTTTTGTTTTGTTTTTTTTTTATATATACTTCATGGGGAATATCAACTTATTGCTTTATTTTAAAATATGGCTGACAGTCAGGAAGTACCAGATATATGAGGGAAGAAATAGTTTGAGAGAGTCAAGGGAGGAAAAAAAAATTTTAAAAACTTACCCCAGAGGAAATGAAGATAACATACTTTTTTCCCCCCTAAATTAAAAGAATTCTAATAACTATCCTCAGAGAGACTCAAAAGAATAATGTATCCATAGCCAAAGAACAGGATGTATTGAAAAGGAACAACTGGAGACCAGAAGAGAGATCTTGGAAATTAAATAATAGGCCATGCTCATAAGAATATAAGTCTAAGCATAAAGTATAAAAGAATCCTGAAAGCTTCCACAGAGGAATAGCATGGTATCTACATGCTATGAAAAATTTTCTCATGACTATATTCTAGCTAAATAAAAAGGAAACACAAAAAGAATCATATGAGGTATAAAAAATGATAGTAGCTGATGATAACATTCATGAATAGAGTTATAAAATTATAGTATCCATTAAATCCTGATGACTGAGATATTTTCTCTGGAGAGCTAGGGGTTAAGTGGCTTAGATTTTTATTTCTTTCTCTGCTTAGTTCCATGGTAAATTTTTACTATACGTAGTGCAGCAGTGTACCAAAACACTTCCCATCTGTCTCAGAGTAAAAGCCAAGGCCTAAATGGCCTCACATGATCTAGCCCTCTGACTTGCTACCTCTCTGCCCTCATCTCCTCCCAGTTTCACCTTTTGCTCATTCTACTGCATACACAGTAGCTTCATTGTGTTTTTTGGTGTTTTTTTTAAAATTTGTTTTCTTTTTTGAACTGCTGTGTATTCTTCCAGTTAAGACTTGCTTACTGTGCCCTCTGCCTGAATTACACATTTCCCAGGGAGCTGCATGTCTTTTTCATTTCCTTTAGATTTCGGCACAAATGTCACCTCAGTGAAGCCTTCCTTGATCACACTGTATATATAAAATAGCAACCCACATTCTCTCTTCTCTTCTCTTTTTCTCCTTAGCACTTAATCGCTATATATCATGTTATATATTTACTTATTTATCTGTTTAGCCTTCAAGAAAGGAGCAAAGGCATCTTTTATCTGTCTTATAAAATTTGATAATGTAAAATAATATAAACAATAAAAAAAAAAAAAAGAGACTTCCTTGGTGGCACAGTAGTTAAGAATCCACCTGCCAATGCAGGGGACACGGGTTCCAGCCCTGGTCCAGGAAGATGCCACATGCCGCGGAGCAACTAAGCCCATGCACCACAACTACTGAGCCTGTGCTCTAGAGCCCATGAGCCACAACTACTGAGCCTGCATGCTACAACTACTGAAGCCCGTGCGCCTAGAGCCTGTGCTCTGCAACAAGAGAAGCCACCGCAATGAGAAGCCTGCACACTGCAACGAAGAGTAGCCCCCACTCACCACAACTAGAGAAAGCCCGTGCACAGCAACGAAGACCCAACACAGCCAAAAATAAGTAAATAAACTAATTAATTTAAAAAATCAGGAGTTAGAAAAGGAAAATGGAGAAGTATGTTAATTATATCATCTTGCATACTGAAGAGTTAATTATAATTATGTAAAAGTCTAACCACCAGAAGAGTTGAAAACACAAACTGCTAGAGATGGTTACTTCTGGAAAGTCAGACTAGGATGAGAAGAGAGAGAGATTTTAACTTTTCATCTCTTGTTCTTTCTTATGGTTTTAATTTAGAGGAGGGAGTCATAGTGAAATTATTCTTTTTTTAAATTGTATTTGGCCTTTTTATGTCAAGTTTATTGCGATTAATTTACATACCTTACAATTTACCCTTTTTAGTGTGCAGTTAAATCAGTTTGACCAACTCAGTCCTATAACCATCATCAAAATTAGAAATAGAACAATTCCGTCATGTAAAATTTTCTCATACTCCTTTGTATCAACCCATTCCCTCCACCCAAGCCCATGACAATCAGTAATCTTTTAACTTAACACTTTTTATTTAATGTGGGTTCCTTGTCCTGAATATAATCAAGTCAGAATTGGTGAGTTTGGAGCAGTTACATATAATGTAATGGTTGATATATCTGAATTAAAATCTGTTAATTGGGCTTCCCTGGTGGCACAGTGGTTGAGAGTCCGCCTGCTGATGCAGGGGACGCGGGTTCATGCCCCGGTCCGGGACGATCCCACATGGCGCGGAGTGGCTGGGCCCGTGAGCCATGGCTGCTGAGCCTGCACGTCCGGAGCCTGTGCTCCGCAGTAGGAGAGGTCACAACAGTGAGAGGCCCGTGTACGGCAAAAAAAAAAAGAAAAAAAAATCTGTTAATTGTTTTCTAATTGTTCCATTTGTTCTTTGTTCTTTTTTCCTTTTATTTGCCCTGCTTTTAGGTTGACTTTTTTTTTTATAATTTCATTGTATCTCTATTATTAGCTTGTTGTTTATACCTTTAAAAAAATTAATTTAGTTGTTACCCTCATATTTATTTAGTTTTTTAAAGTCTGATTTAAAGTGTAAAAAAGAAGGGGGGGAAGAGAAGAGATCTGTACCCAAATGTTAATATTAGTGGTTTGGGGATTGGGTTTGAATTATTCTCCCCTACTTTTCTGTATATTCTTCCTAACTTCCTATATGAATGATGTTTTATTTAAAAAAAAAAAAAAAAGGAGAGAGAGAGGGAGAGGAAGAGAGAGAGCAAGACAAAGAAACTGGGCATCCCTGTGGAAGTTGGCTTAAGAGAGAATAGGATAAGAAAGAAATGTTTGATAAATTACTGGAGGTTGCTTTGTGGATTGATCTGGAAAGTAAGCTCAGGTCTATCTACTATAAAATATATTATAGCTGTTTTTCAGGGACATAGGTGTTTTGTCTTGAGCAAGATAGGTGGTTTTCATTGACTTAGTTCTGCCATATATCTGCAAGTGTCCTGATAATTTGACAAAGTCCAACCTGCTGAAGGTCAAGGTCATTTGTATACCACCAATATTAAACTACCTTCGTGGAAGAATTATACTTCAATTAGAGTAGCCTTTAGAAAACTACGTTCTTTGTCAGATCGATTCTGTTTTAAGTGGAAAATCAAAAATATGTCGAAGTAGATAGTTTAGAAAATGTGTAGAGTCTATTTTCTCTGAATAGAGGAGGTACAATAAAAATATAGCTCTTTGGGGAATTCCCTGGTGGTTCCAGTGGTTAGGACTCTGCACTTTCACTGCTGAAGGTCTGGGTTCAATCCCTGGTCAGGGAACTAAAATCTCACAAGGCACATGGCCCAAAAAAAAAAATATATATATATATATATATATATATATATACGCACACACACACATATATATATATACACACACATATATATACACACATATATATATATATCTCTTTGAATTTTATCACTGAACCTCATTTTATTTCTTAAAACAGTTTCTATATCTGCTTTGTAATTGACCTATTGATCTGTGACTCTTTTGTTTTCTTTGTAGATATTCAAAGGTTTTGTGCATAGCATTTGAGATACTTCAGGGCTTGCAGTATATGAACAAACATGGTATAGTACACCGGGCACTGTCTCCTCATAATATCCTTTTGGATCGAAAGGTAATCATCAAATAGTATATTAAATATTTGCTTTTTATTTCACATTGGAAGCTACTGAAATCAGGCCCACTCAGTTAATCAGAGGGACTGTAGAATTAGAATATGTCTTAAGAGTATTCATAATGAAAAGATTATACGAATGTAATATACTGGTGGTTGTTTAAAAAAAAAGTATCTCTAAATTATATGAATCCATGTGTCTTTCACATTCATTATTCTTTTTTCCCCAGACCCATTTTCTAACTTGTTTTGTTTTTCCTTCCATTCATTTTCTAAAAGATACATACACATTGTGTCTTCCCAATCCACTGCTTCTCTGAATTTGCTTTCATCTTAAGAAAGATTCTCTGACTATTTACATAGAATATTTTTCTCATAGCACAACTGAATTGTGTTTTCTCCACTTTATTCTTCTTTCCTACTTCCTCTTTTCACTTTATTCCTCATTTATTTTCCTTGTTTACCAGCTGTTCATACCTAGCTTCTTTTTTTAATTGGAGTGCTGATTCTCTACTTGGAAATCTTATGGGGGATTTCTAAGAAGCTAGTCAACCTCTAAGAGAATTATGGGTAGCAAGGTGGTATTTTTTCAGGAATAATCATAATTTCATTCTTTTTCATAAGCATATAAAATAGTTTTGAGGAAACATTTTCTGGGGAATTATTTTTTATATTAGTAGGATTATTCTTTTTCTCTGACTTTCTTCCAAACTTTCAGTATATATACCCTATGATATTAAAAATAAAGATAAAATGGTGCTCATTAATTTCATACCTATGGTAGTAGAGTATCTAACTGTCTGAATTGTTTTAAAATATAAATGTTTTGTAATTCTGGGAAATAGAGTTCTTGAGAAAAAGAAAACAACTTTTAAATTGACTATTGTTTTATAAAGTCTTAAACATCTAAAGGGGGAAAAACTTAAGGGATGTATAAAATTTGTTTTGCCTTTTAAGAATCTTGCTTTTGTGATCATTATGCTTATTCTCAAACAGTATAAAAAATTGTTGGGAATCAAGCAGATTCACTAATATCTTGATTTGTGAACTGATCTTTCCAAGTTAAAAATGTCCATGTCAAGTTTAAATTATAACATTGTGAGTGGACTTGCAACTCCCTGAAAAAATTTTCTTTTGTGAAAATTACCACAATATATTCTAATTGAGGATTCAAGACAACTAAGAACATTTTTGCTATTTAGAGAAGCCCAGAAAATAATAAGCAGCAAAAATTTTTAAATGTTGTCATTTTGATATATAAAATATGTATGTGTGTATATATATGTTTGTAATGAATATAAAGCAGACTTCAAACACTGACAAATAGTTTTTAATAAAATTATGGCAAATTAAAATATAATATTTTCTTAATGTATCTGACTATATGATAGTGTCCTTACTTATAAAATGTATAATCATAATTTTCCCTGTCAGTGATATTAAAATATTTTATAATGATTTTTTTCTTCCTTTATTATTGTAGGGACATGTTAAATTGGCTAAATTTGGACTTTATCACATGACAGCATATGGTGATGATGTTGATTTCCCAATTGGGTAAGAATTTTTTTTTTCTGAGTTCCGGCTGAAACTTTCTAATCTTTAATGAAGTGTGTATTTTGTTAATTTATTATTTTTGACATAAAACTACCTTTTTAAAATTAAAAATATCTTAATTTTCCATACACTTCTAAGAGTAGACAATGAGTTTTTCCCAGCATACAAAAGGTCCCTGATGTTGATCTTTCATTGAATTGGTAGTGAGGCTAGCAGATTATTGACTTTCTTCACCTTATAATGCTTACTAAAATTAATTTTATTTCATTCAGAATTAGGTAAATTTAAGGCAAGAAGGCTGACAAGATTCTCACTTAATGATAATGTATGTTCCTCAAAAGACAGAAAAATCACTCTCATATTATCTTCTAATATTTCTAAGTTTAATTCCCTGTTCTTTAAGATGTAGTTGTACATTAAGCTTCAAGTCGAGTCACTGTAGCTGTCAGAGGTAATGGGGTAGATTCTCTAACTGAAAGTCTGTGTTTAAGTTTGGAGAGGTTCTGATATGGAATTCCAGATTTATGTTAGCCTCCAAAAAAGGAATGAAAGTTTATTTCATCCTGGACTCAATTGAATGCTTTGATATAGATGTTTGTATTATATTTATTGTTTGGCTGCTTTTTAAGCATGTTAATAATATAATTCTTTTATAAGTGTTTAATTTTGACATTATTTTAGATACATAGAAGTTACAAAATAGTACAAAAATTTCCTGTATAGCCTTAACTCAGACTCCCCAAATGTTAACATTTCACTACATTTTTTTCTCTTTCTTTTATCTTACACATATATATGTATTTGTGTATAATATATTTTTTCTGAATTATTTAAGAATTATTAGTGTATATAATGGTCTTTTACCCCTCAATACTTCAGTTTGTATTTCCTAAAGTAAGGAATTTTCTTACATAACCACAAAACAATTATCAAAATCAGCAAATTAAAATGATATAATACAATTTTCTAGAGACCTTAAGCATATTTCTTAATTGCTGTGAGATTCTGTTTAATAGTATCGATTTGTGTTTTGCTCTTTGGGCTCCCTAAAGTCAGTTCTGTCACTCAATTATTGGGAATTATGGTTTGGAGTCATGGAGTATGTTTCTGCAGGAAAACATTGCCTAAAAACTTAACTAGATGTTTTTAAAAAAAGATCTCATTTATAAATTACCTTTTATCTTTGTAAGTTAGCTTATAGTTTTGTCACTTAAAATTTTCATTAGCTTGGCCATAGCTATAATCTTAAAATAAATTGTTTAGTCATCCCTTCCTTTATTTATTAAGAAAATATTTATCAAATACATTTTCTTATGGCTGCTGGATATACAAACATGGGTAAGATAGGTTCCCATTCTTCAAGAAGCTCATTATTTAATGGGAAATTTTCTGTTTTGATGGCCTACTTATTAATGTGCATAAATTCATAGTCTTATAGTTTTACATACCAAAACTTGTGGTTGTACGCAACAAACAATTGTTTTCACAAACACAAAAACAATATTTTATAAAAATAGCCTACACTCTATTTGTTTTAAAAAAAACCTTTTGAAATAATAAAATTAAGTTCATAATAAAGCTCTGGTATCTTCATCATATGTAATAATTGCCTTTTAAAATAGCTTTTAGGCAGCTGTAGTTAATGTGCTTCTTCATTTTGTCTAAATTTGTATGAGAGAGAACTCCAAAAACAATACAAACAAAAATTAATTTTTTGCCTTTTACTTAAAGGTTCTTTAGGTTATAGTGATGAATAGAAGAAAGGAAGTGATTTTTCTTAAAGCACATCAAGGATTTTGAAGAGTTGTGTTTGAATTTAAAATGCTTGGATAGAATTGGTCTCATGTGCCATTTGGTTTGGCTTACTTTGAAGTCTTTGACCCAAAAGGTCTGAGCAGAAAGTATCAAAGAGCAAAATGTGAAACATTAGCCAGGAAAAATAAAGTGATCAAACAGCTAAGTCATGAAAGAAAATATTTACTCCAGAAGAAGCTTGCAGCTGATTCAAAAGACAAATATTAAAGAACAACAAAGTAAAATGTTAACATCTGTTTCAAAATATTGTAAAGAGTTAGAAATTGGACATTCATTTTTATTTGGCCAGTAGCTTAATACCTTGTTAAAGCATCAGACAGATGGTGAAAGCCACTTACATTTATCTCACCAGTCATACTCACGGCAGAGTTCCAGTAAGACTGTTAAAATGCTATGCTAAAGAAGAGACACTTGTTGAAAGGAGATAATTTACATTTAAAAATCCTAAGTTTTATTATTTTTATTAATTAACAAGTCCTTGATAGAAAGGAAATTAGAATTTTGGGAGCAAAAGTCACCTCTATACTTCCAGAGATCACCAGTCAGAAGTTTTAGATATAACAATTTACCCATAGTATTGCTTGACTTTTCACTACCCATGCTGTTATTTTGGGGTTAGATGTGCTGGAAATCAGGATTAAAAATGAACAGTTTACCTTCTGGATGTATCATGCTAATGATGACAAAGCTAAAACATTGCATATGTGTCATGTTTTTCATTTTTAGAAAACTTCTTTATGTATTCACTAATATTTATAACAGTTTTGTGAGGTAGGCATTATTATTCCTATTTTATAGATTAAGAAACCCAAATCATATATAGAATATGTGATAGGACTGAAGTTAGAATACAGGTATTATAATATTAAGTTCATTGCTTTTCTACTAGACTTCACTTGTCTCCAGAGGTTTCACACATTCATTTAGAAGATCAATATGATCACCTTAGGGTAAAATGACATCATAGTACAAATTTATGTGTATGAAAATGTGCCTCAGCCTCTTTAGTTATCAAGGAAATACAAATTAAAACTACAACGGTGTATAGGTCCCACCCACCAGATGGCCAAATATTAAAAAGTCTGTCACTGCTGTCTAACAAGTGTTGGAGAAGTAAGCAATAGGATCTGTTGTACACTGCTCGTGGGAGTATAAATTGATACAATCCCTTTCAAAAAACATTTGGCATGATATTATAAAGTTGAAAGTGTACATGTCTTATGGCCTAGAAATTCAATCCTAGGTTTATACCCTTGGGGAAACTTTTGCAGATGTACACATAGTATTTCTAGCAACATTGTTTATAATATAAAAAGACAGGAAATAACTTAAATGCCTATTGACATTAGAGTGAATAAATTATGATATATTCATAAAATAGAAGTAAAAATTAATGACTTAAATCTACATGAAACTATATGGATGGCTCTTTTAAATAACATTGATTAAAAAAGTAAATCACAAAGGAATACCATCAGCATAATTCCCATACTATAAAGTTCAGAAATGTGCTTGACTAAACAATATACTTTTTAGGGTTACAAACATATGGTAAAGCTATAAAGAAATGGAAGAGAATTATAAACACAAAAATTCCAATTGTCTGTTCCTTTTGGGGGATACCAGGGAGGTATAATTAGGGAGAAGCAGAGAGGGACCTTTAGTGATAATTTCATATTCTTTACTTAAACTTCTTGATAGGTACATGGGTGTTCTTTTAAACTTTATTCTTTCTACCTTATTCATTTAATATTCTGTCTTTTGTATTTACTAAAGCAATTTTCAAAAAACTTGTGTTGGTGAAGGTAAGGGGAAATAGGCACTCATATTGCTTATGAGAATATAAATTGCCATAACCTGAAAGGGCAACTTGGCAACATTAATCAAAATTTAAAATGCATCTACCTTATGACTTTGTAGTGCCATGTCTAGGAATTTGTCTTTTGTCTACACATACATATTCATGGGAAAGGGAATATTTGTAATATATCCACGTCAGCATTGTTTGTAATAGCAAAAGAGTGGAACTCCCAACATGTCCTTCTTCAGAGTTGCATTAAGTAAATTAAATGCATCAATACAATGAAATTATTGGCAGTTTTCAAAAAGAATGAGGCAAATCTATACTTATTTTTTTAGAATGATCTCTAAAATATCTTTTGAGTGAAAAAGGGTACAGAATAGTGCATATAGTGTGCTTCCCTGTGGGGCAATGATGATGGGTGATAAAGTTTATTTATACATACATATGTGTGGGTGACTGGAGTACAGAGATGGGAGAGAGTCTTACCTTTCAATTTATATATTTTTACAGATTTTGACATTGCTACTATTCAAAAGAATAAATACTATTTTCAAAGATAACATATGCTTTAAATAAGAGTTAAGTATAAAGAGAAGATAGGCAGTGAGGAAGAAGGAAAAAACACCTGGAAACCTGGAAAGCTGCAAGAAGGCAATATGTTAACACAGAGGAAAGCAAAGAAAGGAACTAATATTGCAGACACACGATAGGTTTTAAATTATTTGAGACTCATGTATTTGCTCTTGATTCCTAGACATAGAAGCCTGTATTATGGTTAGTTTAGAATTCTTCCTAGAAAGAGTTGTTCGTCTAATTGCATTGAGCTTTTATATAGGCCGTACTGTACTGATAGTAAAAATGTACCACTACATACTTCTTTCCCCCTTTCTAGCTCATAGTAATTATTCATTTCTAAAATATACCATTTTAGGTATCCATCATACTTGGCACCTGAGGTAATTGCACAAGGAATTTTCAAAACCAATGATCATGTGCCAAGTGAGAAACCGTTGCCTTCTGGCCCCAAATCAGATGTCTGGTCTCTTGGAATCATTTTATTTGAGCTTTGTGTGGTATGTATAAAGAAATAGTAAACTCATAAAAATAAATTGTGTTTCTTAGAAAAGTATTTTTGGATACGAAGGCTATTTAGTAATATCAATAGCATGTTTTTGCTTTGCAAATTGACTAGATAACAGAGAAAAAAATCTCAATTTGACTTCATAAAAAATCCTGTTTGACAATTTATTTGTATATTATTTTGGTATATCTAGAAATATTGACGCTTTTATTAAGTATTAAAAATATACACTGTACTGGGCTTCCCTGGCGGCGCAGTGGTTGAGTCCGCCTGCCGATGCAGGGGACACGGCTTCGTGCCCCAGTCCGGGAGGAGCCCACATGCCGCGGAGTGGCTGGGCCCGTGAGCCATGGCCGCTGAGCCTGCACGTCCGGAGCCTGTGCTCCACAACGGGAGAGGCCACAACAGTGAGAAGCCCGCGTACCGCAAAAAAAAAAAAAAATATATATATATATATATACACTGTACTAAGTGTAAAAAATTAAGCATATTTATAAACATTTACACTAAAACTGCTTACATGCTTTGGTATGTTCATGCTCTCTCTCCCTTCTGTGGTGGTATTTCTTCCTTAAATCCCTTCTCCTCTCTTATTCTGTCTCCTGTAAGACTGACTTTGTAACTGAGTTGGCTTTTTATGAGGCCTTCCTGAAATATCCTCTATATTTATTAGGGTAATAAAGACTATACAGCTATTAAAAACAAATGAATTAAAACTGCAGTAGCTTAAAAAACACAGATGTTTTTCTCCCTCATGTAACAGTCCACAGAAAGTTAGGGTGGGCTCTGTTCCACAGCATCATGAAAAAACTTAGGCTACCAAGAATGGCTCCACCATTCTCACCACCTGATTTCCAAAGATGCTCTCTTTATCCTCTTTTTTAGCTATAAGGAAGAAGAGGAGTGAATTCATGGTAACTGTCTTTAAAAAGATGATATAAAAGTTGCAGATATCAACTCTGTTCTTTTCACTAGTGGCACTTTACTCATGTGGCCACATGTAGGTTCAACAGAATACAAATGCCTAAATATTCAGAAAGAAGATCAGGATGGATTTGGAGAGACAACTAATATTTTGTCAATCCTCCCTCCAAATACCTGCCAGGGTTAGTTCCTGTCTTCTTTTCTCTCCTTTTCTATTTTAGCATTTGTCATGTTTGTCTACATGGACAATAAGGTCTTTAAAGGCACACATTTTTATTATTCATCTGTTGTTCTGTCTTCCAAGAGATATTTTTTAACATCTTTATTGGAGTATAATTGCTTTACAATGGTGTGTTAGTTTCTGCTTTATAACAAAGTGAATCAGCTATACGTATACATATGTTCCCATATCTGTTCCCTCTTGCGTCTCCCTCCCACCCTCCCAATCCCACCCCTCTAGGTGGTCACAAAGCACCGAGCTGATCTCTCTGTGCTATGCAGCTGCTTCCCACTAGCTATCTGTTTTACATTTGATAGTATATATAAGTCCACTCTCTTACTTCGTCCCAGCTTACCCTTCCCCCTCCCCATGTCCTCAAGTCCATTCTCTACGTCTTTGTTCCTGTCCTGACCCTAGGTTCTTCATAACCATTTTTTTTTCTTTTTAGAATCCATATGTATGTGTTAGCATACAGTATTTCTTTTTCTCTTTCTGACTTACTTCACTCTGTATGTCAGAATCTAGGTCCATCCACCTCACTACAAATACCTCAATTTCATTTCGTTTTATGGCTGAGTAATATGCCGTTGTATATATGTGCCACGTCTTCTTTATCCATTCATCTGTTGATGGACACTTAGGTTGCTACCATGTCCTGTATTGTAAATGGAGCTGCAATGAACATTGTGGTACATGACTCTTTTTGAATTATGGTTTTCTCAGGGTACATGCCCAGTAGTGCACTTGCTGGGTCGTACGGTAGTTCTATTTTTAGTTTTTTAAGGAACCTCCATACTGTTCTCCATAGTGGCTGTATCAATTTACATTCCCACCAACAGTGCAAGAGGGTTCCCTTTTCTCCACACCCTCTCCAGCATTTATTGTTTGTACATTTTTTGATGATGGCCATTCTGAACAGTGTGAGATGTTACCTCATTGTAGTTTTGATTTGCATTTCTCTAATGATTAGTGATGTTGAGCATCCTTTCATGTGTTTTTTGGCAATCTGTATATCTTCTTTGGAGACATGTCTGTTTAGGTCTTCTGCCCATTTTTGGATTAGGTTGTTTGTTTTTTTGATATTGAGCTGCATGAGCTGCTTGTAAATTTTGGAGATTAATCCTTTTTCAGTTGCTTCATTTGCAAATATTCTCTCCCATTCTGAGGGTTGTCCTTTTGTCTTGTTTATGGTTTCCTTTGCTGTGCAAAAGCTTTGAAGTTTCATTAGGTCCCATTTGTTTATTTTTGTTTTTATTTCCATTTCTCTAGGAAGTGGGTCAAAAAGGATCTTGCTGTGATTTATGTCATAGAGTGTTCTGCCTATGTTTTCCTCTAAGAGTCTTACAGTGTCTGGCCTTACATTTAGGTCTTTAATCCATTTTTAGTTTATTTTTGTGTATGGTGTTAGGGAGTGTTCTAATTTCATTGTTTGACATGTAGCTGTCCAGTCTTCCCAGCACCACTTATTGAAGTGGCTGTCTTTTCTCCATTGTATATTCTTGTCTCCATTATCAAAAATAACATGACCATATTTGCGTGGGTTTATCGCTGGGGTTTCTATCCTGTTCCATTGATCTATATTTCTGTTTTTGTGCCAGTACCATACTGTCTTGATTACTGTAACTTTGTAGTAAGGTCTGAAGTCAAGGAGCCTGATTCCTCCAGCTCCGTTTTCCTTTCTCAAGATTGCATTGGCTATTCAGGGTCTTTTGTGTTTCCATACAAATCGTGCAATTTTTTGTTCTAGTCCTGTGAAAAATGCCATTGGTAGTTTCATAGGGATTGCATTGAATCTGTAGATTGCTTTGGGTAGTATAGCCATTTTCACAATGTTGATTCTTCCAATCCAAGAACATGATGTATCTCTCCATGTGTTTGTATCATCTTTAATTTCTTTCATCAGTGTCTTATAGTTTTCTACATACAGGTCTTTGGCCTCCTTAGGTAGGTTTATTCCTAGGTATTTTGTTCTTTTTGTTGCATTGGTAAATGGGAGTGTTTCCTTAATTTCTCTTTCAGATATTTCATCATTAGTGTTTAAGAATGCAAGTTATTTCTGTGGATTAATTTTGTATCCTGCTACTTTACCAAATTCATTCATTCGCTCTAGCAGTTTTCTGATAGAGTCTTTAGGACGCTCTGTGTATAGTGTCATGTCACCTGCAAACAGTGACAGCTTTACTTCTTCTTTTCCGATTTGGATTCTTTTTACTTCTTTTTCTTCTCTGATTGCTGTGGATAAAACTTCCAAAACAATGATGAGTAATAGTGGTGAAAGTAGGCAACCTTGTCTTTTTCCTGACCTTAGTGGAAATGCTTTCAGTTTTTCACCATTTAGAACAATGTTGGCTGTGGGTTTGTCATATATGGCCTTTATTATGTGGAGGTAAGTTCCCTCTTCACCTACTTTCTGGAGGGTTTTTATCATTAATGGATGTTGAATTTTGTCAAAAGCTTTTTCTGCATCTATTGAGATGATCATATGGTTTTTCTCCTTCAATTTCTTAATATGGTGTATCACATTGATTGATTTGCGTATACTGAAGAATCCTTGCATTCCTGGGAAGAAACCTACTTGATCATGGTGTATGATCCTTTTAATGTGCTGCTGGATTCTGTTTGCTAGTATTTTGTTGAGGATTTTTGCATCTATGTTCATCAGTGATATTGGCCTGTAGTTTTCTTTCTTTGTGACATCTTTGTGTGGTTTTGGTATCATGGTGATGGTGGCCTCGTAGAATGAGTTTGGGAGTGTTCCTTCCTCTGCAGTTTTTTTGAAGAGTTTGAGAAGGACGGGTTAGCTCTTCTCTAAATGTTTGATAGAATTCGCCTGTGAAGCCATCTGGTCCTGGGCTTTTGTTTGTTGGAAGATTTTTAATCACAGTCTCAATTTCAGTGCTAGTGATTGGTCTGTTTATTTTTTCTATTCTTCCCGGTTTAGTCTCGGAAGGTTGTGCTTTTCTAAGAATGTGTCCATTTCTTCCAGGTTGTCCATTTTATTGGCATATAGTTGCTTGTAGTAATCTCATGATCCTTTGTATTTCTGCAGTGTCAGTTGCTACTTCTCCTTTTTCATTTCTAATTCTGTTGATTTGTTTCTTCTCCGTCTTTTTCTTGATGAGTCTGGCTAATGGTTTATCAATTTTGTTTATCTTCTCAAGGAACCAGCTTTTAGTTTTATTGATCTTTGCTATCCTTTCCTTCATTTCATTTTCATTTATTTCTGATCTGATCTTTACGATTTCTTTCCTTCTGCTAACTTTGGGGGTTTTTTGTTCTTGTTTCTCTAATTGCTTTAGGTATATGGTTAGGTTGTTTATTTGAGATGTTTCTTGTTTCTTAAACTTTGCTATAAACTTCCCTCTTAGAACTGCTTTTGCTGCATCCCACAGGTTTTGGGTCATCATCTTTTCATTGTCATTTGTTTCTAGGTATTTTTTGATTTCCTCTTTGATTTCTTCAGTGATCTCTTGGTTATTTAGTAGTGTATTGTTTAGCCTCCATGTGTTTGTATTTTTTACAGATTTTTTCCTGTAATTGATACCTAGTCCCATAGTGTTGTGGTCAGAAAAGACCCTTGATATTCTTTCAATTTTCTTAAATTTACCAAGGCTTGATTTGTGACCCAAGATATGATGTATCCTGGAGAATGTTCCATGAGCACTTGAGAAGAAAGTGTATTCTGTTGTTTTTAGATGGAATGTCCTGTAAATATCAATTAAGTCCATCTTGTTTAATGTATCATTTAAAGCTTGTGTTTCCTTATTTATTTTCATTTTGAATGATCTGCCCACTGGTGAAAGTCGGGTGTTAAAGTCCCCTACTATTGTTGTGTTACTGTCAATTTC